GAAGCAACTGCCATGTGATTGGTTGATTAGATAATTGCATTAATGAGAAATTGAACAGGTGTTCCTAATAATCCTTTAGGTGAGTGTATGTCCCTACTTTGTGTAGCTTTGTGTAGTGACCGAAAGAATGAGATTGCGTATACAAACAACAATGTGTCTGGACTCATCCTTAGCGTGCTTTTCCACCACGCCAAGTACCATACTTTTGGTGCTGTACTTTTGATACTTTCACTTTTTTGCTGACTTGTGGTTTGAGTACCAGTACAAAAAGTGCCAAACTAGCTAGGGTGGTACTTTGGTACTTTGGGCTGGCAATTGAAATGCTTTCTTTGTTGATTGGTTAAGCAAATAGCCTGCCTCTGAAATTCTGAAATACAATTCAACTGCAATCTTAAAAAAAGGTACAAACTCAGAAAACAATGATAAATAAAGTAAAAAGAAATTAATTGCCATTTGATCGGAAGAACAGATAGGGAAAAAAAGCTCAGATGACATTTCTTGCATGATAAGAAATTAAAAAGTATTTTGTGTTAATGTACTAGGACACCACACATGTAGTGTATATAGCATATAGCATGCTGTCCTAGCAATGTAATTTTGTCTTAAATATAACGATGTAATTTTGTCGTAAAAATATTTGGATATTTTTGAAGCAAAAATAAGTTTATAAATCTCTTACAAACCTGTCTAGGAGTGATTTAAACAGGAAGAATGAAAATGATTACGATTCTTTCAGAGATAGCAAGCAGCGTTTATGCAAAAGCAGCAGAGGTAAACTGTAAACTGATTTTTAAACATGTATTAGATCATTTATAAAAGGAATGATAATAAAAACTGCAAAGCTCACTAGGTTTTTTATGACTGAGTAAAACTGTTTTACTGAAAATTGAACTCCCTGCAGTATAATGTTTGTACAAAATTTAAAGTAAGAAAAAGTCTGATCTTAATTTAGTTTACTAGTGGTGTCAGAATTGGATGTGCATAACACACGATGTTGGTATTAATATGGCACATCGTCCAGCCCTATAATATAATATAAAATGCCATATTTTGAATTCAGTACAAAATACCCCGCCTCGAGTTGTGATGTCATTTGGTACCAGTACCAGTTTGTATGCTAGTGGAAACTTTCTTGAAGTACCAAAAGTATGGTGCCTGGTGCAGTGGATAAGTGTCCTTAGAGAGAGGGTGAAGAGCTCAAAGATTCTGGAGGAACTCAATGTAGTGCCACTGCTCCTCTCCATTGAAAGCAGCCAGTTGAGGTGGTTTGGGTATCTGTCTAAGATGCCTCCTGGATGCCTTTCTAGGGAGGTGATGTCCAAGGAGGAGGAGAACCAGGAAATGCTGTAAAGATCTCTTGACCTTTCTGGGAATGCCTTGGTATTACCCCAGTGGAGCTGGATGAGGTGGCTGGTGAGAGGTTTGGGCATCCCTGCTGATACTGCTGTTCCTGTGACCCGATCCTGGATAAGTGGCGGATGGATGGATGGATGGATGGATGGATGGAGATTTCCATTTTGCAGTCCATTCAGTTTGTCGCCTTTATTCATGCTCTGAATGTGTTCAAGTACAATTTTAAGGGAATTTTAACCAAAAATGGAGCATTCAAGTAGAGAAATAACGACTTGAATTATATTAATAACATAAGAAATTTACAAATGAGACGAAATTTTGTACAAACATTATACTGCAGGGAGTTCAATTTTCGGTAAAACAGTTTTACTCAGTCATAAAAAAAAAACCTGGTGAGCTTTGCAGTTTTTGTTATCATTCCATTTGGCCTATCAAGCTTGTTTGGGGAGAACTTAACTAATAGCTCAGAGTTGTTAAAATCTTATCTAGCTCTGATTTATAGGAACCCAGGGTTTTAGCTTGCACTACAATAGCAGGAAGACTATTCCATACTCTAACTACACACTGTGTAAAGAATTGTTTTCTTAAATACAGTTTAAAATGTTCTAATATTAAAGTAGCCATTTGGCTGAACAGCAATGAGACCTGTTTGAATCTTATATACCTGGATCATGTCCCCCCTTAATCTCCTTTGTGCAAGGCTGAAGAGATTCAGCTCAGCTAACCTTTCCTCATAACACTTTCGTCTAATAAATCATTCTTGTAGCCCTATGTTGAACCTTTTCCAAGGCAGCAATGTCCTTTTTAAGGTATGGTGACCAAACCTGCACACAATATTCTAGATATTTTGTAAATTTCTTATGTTCTTATGTTCTTATGGGGTCTTACCAAGGAATTGTATAATTGTAGCATCACCTCCCTTGACTTAAACTTCACACACCTTGAGATGTAACCCAACATCCTATTGGCCTTTTTAATTGCTTCCCCACACTGGCGAGAGTGGTACATGGAAGCATCAACATACACACCGAGGACTTTCTCATAATCAGCTACCTTTATTTCAGTGGAACCCATAAAATATCTGTACTTTATATTTCTGCTCCCTGCATGGATTAACTTACATTTATCTACGTTAAATTTCATCTGCCAGGTATCAGCCCCTTCACTAATTAAATCAAGATCCCATTGTAGCCTCTGTGCTCCTAATTTAGTATCTGCTACACCACCCACCTTGGTGTCGTCTGCAAATTTAACCAGTTTACTGTATGTATTGGTGTAAATATCATTAATGTAAATTAGGAACAATAATGGTCCTAAAATTGAACGCTGCAGTACCCCACTATGAACGCAGAACCACTGCGACATTGTGCCTCTAATAACTACCCGCTCCCTCCTGTCTATTAACCAGTTTTCGATCCAAGCTGCTGCAGTTCCTAAAGTCCCTGCAGCTTTAAGCTTAAGCAAGAGCCATTTGTGGGGGACAACATCAAAGGCCTTCTGGAAATCTAAGTAGGCCTTTTTGTGATCAATTCAACTCTTGTAGCTTCCTCAAAGAACTCAATTAGATTAGTTAAACAGGACCTACCTCTCCTAAATCCATGTTGGCTATCCCTCTAATAATTCTTTATATTATTTGATATGAAAAGAAATTATGATAAAATATTTTGTCTTATTGTCCAACCCTAGTTGAAATCCACTACTTCTAAAACAAAAGAAGTTGCTGGTAATAACTGTGTTCTTTCTTCAACAGCTGAATGTGATGAATTCGATGAATCCAAAGTTACCGAGGTTCGGGTGTATGAAGGTGAGGCTGCTGTGTTCCGATTCCCTCTCTCTACCTCCTCCACTGTTTTCAACAACTACTGTGCAAACACTGGATTCAAGATAGACTGGTACAAAAACCAGTCTGACGGACACCTCCAGCAGCCTGTCTTATGGCCCCGGATCAGCCAAGAAGGAGAAAGGCTGTGGTTTCATCCAGCGGAATTTAATGATACAGGCCAATATATTTGTACAGTAAGGTAAGAATGCAACAGAGAAGAAATTTGCCAAAACAAAAATAAAACAAGTCTTTTGAATACACTGGAAAAGGTTTTGTTTGTTAGCTTTGAGCTATTAATTCCAGTGTGATAAAATATTAATAGCATAAGTGGCAGTGATGTAGTTGAAAAGTATAACGGTTAGAGAGAAAACGAGCAGGAAGTATTCACTTTTCACTATTTTGCCCACATAGACACCAATTACCACTCTGTTCACAAAATACTGTTACACATAATGTGTCTCATCCCCACGTCATTTACTGTTCACTTGACTGTTAGAATGAGCAAAACTAATGAAATGATGTGATTGTTAGTGTCAAGTGCACAGTGTTAATTTTGTTGGTGAAAACTATGATGAAAATTGTCAACGAAGATTTTTAATTGACAAAAGTGAAATGTTAATGAAATAAAAAATAATTTTAATGCAAAAAACTTTGATGAAAAGTACTGACTTTTGTCAAAGAATAAAAACGGAAAGAAAATATCAGGAAGTTACAACTTCGAAACTAATACAATCAGAAGTAGTATCTTTAGTTCAGGGGTGGGGAAACTGTTCCATGGAGGGCCGGTGTGGGTGCAGGTTTTTGAGATGACCTCTTAATCGGCCAATAATAAAGCAGTGGTTCTCAGCTCCAGTCCTGGGGACCCACTGTTCTTGGCTGATTGAGAGGCCATCCCAAAAACCTGCACCCACACCGGCCCTCCATGGATCAGGTTCCCCACCCCTGCTTTAGTTAGTGTTGGCTGTAGTTACATATGATTGGATAATGTTGATCTACCCTGCTTCAAGCACATAAACCATCCAGTTCTGTATCTAAATCCTGTCTGTAATAATAATAATAATAATCGATCCTTTATTGTCCCCGTGGGGAAATTCTTTTTTACGCCTCCCTCATCTTGCTCTTAATCTTATTTCTGTGCCAGTCTTGGGTGAATAATCTCAGAACAGTATGACTGTATGAAATATTAGATATCGCCAAGCCTGGTCTGTGCCACAGTCAGCTTTAGGTTGGGAAAATAGTACCAATATACCAACCCGATCTCACGAATTTTCGTGCAGCCATCACGACATAAAATCTATTTAAACGTGCTGTGATCACGTTTTTGGCTTTTTTTACGTGCTGGGGTAACGTTTCCCCTCCCTATGTGTTTTAATGGGCAGTGCCTAACACCGCCACTATGAGCGCTAACTGGTGACTAAGGGACGGGAAAGTCATGCATGGCCAGAATCATATTTTGTTTTTTGTGATCTGATAACGCTTTCCATAACGTGTGACGCGACCTTGCAAAACAGCGCTTGGATTTTGGTTCTGTTAATAATTCCTTTTGAATAATGTCCGGGATTTCCCTCCATACACTAACTCATTCATGCAACAGAACTAAAATCCAAGCGCTGTTTTGCAAGGTCGCGTCACACGTTATGGAAAGCGTTATCAGATCACAAAAAACAAAATATGATTCTGGCCATGCATGACTTTCCCGTCCCTTAGTCACCAGTTAGCGCTCATAGTGGCGGTGTTAGGCACTGCCCATTAAAACACATAGGGAGGGGAAACGTTACCCCAGCACGTAAAAAAAGCCAAAAACGTGATCACAGCACGTTTAAATAGATTTTATGTCGTGATGGCTGCACGAAAATTCGTGAGATCGGGTTGAATATACTGTATGGACAACTTTCATTTTTGACAAGAAAAAAAATCAAGGCGTGTGGAGTTGCAATAATGGGGAAAAACACAACAAACTTGAAACACAATGAAATGACCGGAATTTTTTTCCTTTAGTTATTGTTTGAAAAATTTGTGGTCGTGAACTGAACTATGTGTATAAATAAGCACAACTTGTTGTTTTGTCCTTGTGAGGATATTTTTTCAGTCCCCACGAGGTGAAACTGTATTTTATTGAAATCTGTGAAAGTTTGGTTAGTTATGGTTAAAGATATGGCTGAGTAAGGGTTAATGGGCCTCATTCACCAACCGTTCTTATGAACAAATTTGTTCTTAAATCCCACGTACGCACATTTTTTTTTTTTTACAAAGATTCTGACATTCACCAATGTTTTCTTATCTGAATTTGTTCTTAGCTAAGAACAGAATCTACGCATACTCAAGACCATTTGTATGTACATTTGAGTAATGATAGTTTGTTCAAAATAATCGGTTATTTTTGTTCATTCTACAGTTCATAAAATGATAGTATTTGAATAATTTTTAAAAGTAAAATATAAAAAATAATTTAAGTGTAAATTATTTTCATGGTAGTAACGCCGATCATGTGGATTATAAATAGGTCTGTTTCTGCGCATTGGCCTTGCTATCAAAATGGCATTTCTGTTACTTCTTGAAGAGCTTGCCAATCGTGCTCTGAAGGGAATGCATGTTTGAAGATCATTTAGATTTATTTGGCACACAGCATTCACAGAGAAGGTGATATCTTTCCATGTATCAGCTTTCTTGGGGGCTTTATATCCACTGGTTACGCTACTAAATAACATGTGTCTATTTGCATTTACCTCCTGTACAGTACAATCCAGTCATAACGGACTTCAAGGGACCTGGCAAAACAGTCCGTTATATCCAAAGTCCGTCATATCCAGAGTTGCTGTATGGCCAGAATACAACTACAGGACAGCATTTACTCATGCCACACCCAAGCAGAATCACTTGTGGTATAGATTATTATATTGTACATGTAGTAATCCAACTTTATCTCAGCAGATGTATGATTATTAATAATCCAGACTACGTATCTACGCTGGATGTAGAGCCTGCGTTGTCCGTTATAGCCGAACAAAGCTACAGCTAAAAGCGGCCCTGGGGACCAAATTGTTTGTCTGTTATAAGCGAAATTCTGTTATGTGCGAGTCCGCTATATCTGATGCTTTTTCTGCATGTTCTTAAAGGTGAATGGCCGGGACCAGCGGGCCTTGTCCATTATAGATATTCCGTTATAAGCGAGTCCACTATAACAGGATTTTACTGTATTAATACTTCCACTTCAGCATTACTGAAGTTTTTTTCCTCTTAGTGCCAAGCGGCTCTTCACCATTACTTGCACATGGCCCTACAGTCTCATGCCTTTTTATGGGAAATTGGAGGGTGTTTCCCTATGCTAATTAGGACAAACTACGTATGAAGGTTGTTCTTAACAAATTTTGTAGGAGCGAATTTAAGAGAATTCTTAAGAAAATATTGGTGAATGAGGCCCAATGTTGTCATAGTTGGGATTAGGGTTCTATATGTGGGATCCTTGAGAAACATTAGTTATTATTGCATAAAATATATATTTTTTTACTTCCATTAATTTTTCCTTTGTTTTATATTGTATAAAGGATAACTTCCGTTATCACAATTGATGTTTTACGAATCAAACCTGATCATGAAAAAAAAAATAGATGGAAGAAAACACCAGTCAGTCTCCTTTTTTTTATCAATTATTTGCAACATGATGCCACTGTAGCAGCACCCCACCCCAGAAATGGAAGTCGAAAATGTTTAGTCACTTTGAAGTCACGACTCATTCTCATAGTATTAGAACAAAAATGAAATGCAAAAAAAATCAATTAAACAAAACATGAAAATAGGACTGTGAGAAAAAAATCCCTAGCTGAGAGAAAAGATTGATAGTTATGACAAAATATATTTGTAATCAAGGGAAGGTGTCTGATAAGGTGATGAAAAGTCTAAAATTAAAGTTGCCTGGATCGTGGACCTGTTATTATATGTGGTCTTTCTCTGTGTCTCCATGTTTGCTGGCAATGGCTTCATACTAATCACACCATGTCCTGGATTTGTGTTTCTTGTTAGAAATGGAACATTCTGTGCTAAGATACCTGTCTGGCTTAATGTAGTTCAGAGGGCCAGGGAAATATGCATAGCAGAGCCAGCAGGCATTTCGACCCTGGTGAAGATTCCTTTGGAAGAAAACAGGATAGTCACTTGTCCTGATATTGAAGATTTCAGGCATCCGAACAGGAATTTCTCTGTCCAGTGGTTTCATGTGAGTTAAATGATTATAAATACATTTCTGTCAGCATTCTACATAAAGTATGATGCAAAATATAATTTCACTGATTTATTAATTAATGGTTAAAGCATAGTATTTCTGAAACGTCGTTTTTTTTCTACCTAGATAACAACATATAACAACCTTGCAGTGATTAATAAGTCTCTGGTTGTAATAACAATCCCTGTCAAAACTCTAATCCTGGTCTTTCATGCTAAAAGAAGCTACACTATATTGCCAAAAGTATTGGGACACCTGCCTTTACATGCACATGAACTTTAATGACATCCCATTCTTAATACACAGGCTTTAATATGGAGTTGCCCTACCCTTTGCAGCTATAACAGCTTAAACTCTTCTGGGAAGACTGTCCACAAGGTTTAGGAGTGTGTTTAGGGGAATTTTTGACCATTCTTCCAGAAGAGCATTTGTGAGGTCAGGCACTAATGTTGGACGAGAAGGCCTGGCTCTCTCTAATTCATCCCAAAGGTGTTCTATCGGGTTGAGGTCAGGGATCTGTGTAGGCCAGTCAAGTTCCTCTGCACCAGACTCACTCATCCATGTCCTTATGGACCTTGCTTTGTGCCATGGTGCGCAGTCATGTTGGAACAGAAAGGGGCCATCCCCAAATTGTTTGCACAAAGTTGGGAGCATGAAATTGTCCAAAATGGCTTTGAATGCTGCAGCATTGAGTTCCTTTCACTGGAACTAAGGGGTCAATCCCAACCCCTGAAAAACATTCTCACACCATAATCCCCCTTCACCAAACTTTACACTTGGCACAATGTCAGGCAAGTACAGTTATCCTGGCAACCGACCAAACTCACACTCATCCATTGGATTGCCAGACAGAGAAGGATGATTTGTCACTCCAGAGAACACGTCTCCACTGCTCTAGAGTCCAGTGGTGGCATGCTTTAGACCAGTGATTCTCAACTGGTGGGTGGCAACCCAAAAGTGGGTCGCAAACCCATTTTCAGTGGGTCGCGGGCCTTCGGGCAAAAAGAATGTTGAGAAAAAATTAGCAGAGTGTCGTCTGTTCACACTCTTTAACAGTAGGAGGTGCCCTGTAATGCAAGTTGAAAACCACCGTTTCACACCATAGAAGAAGACCTGCAATCTTTGTTTACATATGCTAACTGAGTATGGCAAAACGCAGGTACGACACAGAATATATTAGATATGGATTTTCTTATATTGATGACAAAGGAGCACAAAAACCTCAGTGTGTTTTGTGCAGGGAGGTGTTGGTATGTGAAAGCATGAAGCCGTCAAAACTGAAGCGACATTTAGAAAAAAAAAACACCATTCTCTCAAAGGTAAAGCTGTTCAGTAGTTCAGAAGACGACTTCAAGACCTGAGGACATCACAAAAGTGTCTTACTACTTCCTGCTCGAAGCAAGAACAGGCACTCCATGCATCTTACCTGGTAGCACATTGTATTTCGAAGTAAAAGAAGCCCCACATCATTGCAGAGGACCTCATCTTACCTGCCACTATGGACATGGTCAGAGAGATATTGGATCAATCCACAGTGGATAAACTAAAAAATATACGTCTGTTAAATGACACTATTGGTAGGCCAATTGAAGACATGTCAGATGACATCAAACAACAGAACCCCAGCTTGCATTAAGGCAAGTGGTCATTTTCCCTTACAAATGGACAAATCCACAGACATTAACAAAGCAATTTTACTCGTTTACGTGAGACGTGTTGGATGGGGACTTACAGGAACAATTTCTCTGCACAAGAGAACTCCCTACTACTGTGGTAGAAAAATTATAAATCAACCTATCTGATAACACAGAGAGGCACTTAGAATAAAAGTCTGGACCTCTTAGTTTGGTGAGTAAAGAAAATCTCTTTTATTCCAGCAAGTTCAGCAAAGCGCTCCCATCACACTCTGGCACTTGGTACCAAGTCACACCCAGCACACAGAGCAACCAGTAGATAAACCATAACTCCCAGGACTTCTAAGTCCTGATTGGTCACAAAACACCAACAAACTAAGCTGAAACGTATAACAAACACAATTCTCCTGCTCCATTGGTTCACCTTGGTAGCAAGGTAAAGTCCACCCATTATACGCAATTTACTGGAGACAGCCTCGGCTTCTAGACTCTACTTGAGATATGTATATAGATATTAAATATATGACATTGAATCACTGTTAATGATTGGGTGTTCCATTGATTAATGATTAACACATTGACGTATTGTCCCTGGATCACTGAAAATACATGGTTAACATATGATTAGTATGATTAACATGATGCGATCAATTGCGTAACATATATATTGACTACTACAACTACTTTATTAAGCTATAATTCTTTGTGCACCAGTTGGGGTGGCTTCGAGTCTCTTCCTGCAAGTGGTTTTTCCCCCACTTTGCTCCACTGTCTGCCTCTCCAAGGTCCGAGCTTCTGCGGAGCCAACTGCAGGCAGCTATCACAAAGCGAGGTCACACAGTATTCAAAACAATCTCTTCTTGCCTAAGGCCTAAAACATAACAGACCCAATATGCCTCCCCTCCCGGGCTTACTAATGTCCAATTTTACTTCCACACTACAACGACTGCAGAGGACATTTTCAGCTCTGTGGATTTGTATTTGAATTGAGTGGGCCTAAGCTGGGACATGTGCGTCAGTATCACAACTGATGCCGCTGCCTCCATGACAGGAAAAAACTCGGGGGTCGTGAGGAGAATACTTGAGATGCAACTTGGAACCATTGTTTTTACATCGGGAGGCCCTGGCAAAAAAGGATTTGGTACCAGTACTTCATGGAACATTAAAAGATATCATCCATCCATCCATCATCTGCCGCTTGTCCGGGGTTTTGGTCGCGGGGGTAGCAGCTTCAGTAGAGGCACCCAGACCTCCCTCTCCCCAGCTAACCCCACCAGCTCCTCGGGGGGGACACCGAGGCGTTCCCAGGCCAGCC